GAGAGAGAGAGAGAGAGAGAGAGAGAGAGAGAGACTGCTCGATTGAAATATATATATATTATTCTTTTCTTCAAATTGTTATTCCTCCAAAACAGAGGAAAAACGATCGTTCAACGAAAAAACATTCGCAATCTTCATTTAGTTCTAGATCTCTAGATCTAGGCTAGCCTCGAAACTAGATCAATGATTTATGTCTGTCTGTCTGTCTGTCTAGATCTAGACCTAGACCTAGGCCATAGATCTAGATCTAGAAGCCCCTAGGTCTCTGAGCCAAGAGGGCGCTGAAACTTTCCGAAATCACAAAAGAGTTCCCCTACCAAGTCTGTAAACTTTGTGACTTTGTTCCCGGTTACTGGGTCTGTATACACTCCCTTTCCTTTTTTACCAATTTAGGGATTTTAGGCCTGGTTAAAGTTCAATAGTGGCTTTCATGGTCTGTGAGTCTAATTTTTCTTGGACCGGCTCTATTTCTCCAAACGTTCGGGGAAAATATACTTGAACTCTATTTCTCCGAACAGGTTCCGTTCTTTAGATTTGTTGATAATAAGCGAAAGGTGTGGCCCGTATGTGTGTGTGTGCAGACCTGCCACTCATCCCGATTTAGTCGGGATATCCCGATTTTTTGCCCCCAAATCTCAAGCATCCCGATTTTCTCGATTTCGACCACGTGTATCCCGATTTTTTTGTCCCAGTTTGCTGTTGTGCCAGATTTTTCTAAAAACTTCTCTGTCTTCTCCTAAAACTTACTCTGTCTTCTCCTTTATCGTGGGAAGCACCCGTTGAACTTTTTGTCAGTTTGAACTCTGGGCACTATTTCCCGAAATATTGATGCCGCATTTAGTAGTTGACTCGCCCCAAGTTGTGTGTGATCTTTGCCCACACTCAGAATTCTCCGATGATAGCCTGGTAACTGTTACAATTTGGCACATACAAATAATCGATAATATTCGTAGTTCACCGGTTACTTTCAAAACAATCCTTGTCCTAGGTCTGGTAACTGCGCGTTCACACCAAACACTCGGACTAGCGACTGTCTTTCTAACCCTTACACAACTACATGTAACCGCGCTGACAAGACTAACATACGGCCGTTGTCGTTGCTTTAGTCTGAACGCATATAAGGGATAAGAGATTCGTTGGTACAATTGGTCGGTCGGCAGTCGTCGTTATCCTAGATAACCTTGGTGATTTTCCTGTTGATATCGATTTTTTTCACCAAATCCCGATTTTTTCTCCCCGAGATCCTGATTTTGAGGTTTCATAGAGTAGCAGGTCTGGTGTGTGTGTGTAAGGTGTGAACGAATGGGCGTGGAGGCATTTTTTTTTTACTTGAAGGATTATAGTTTTTGCTGGAGGTGACTAAATGCTAAATAGGTTACAGCCAAGGTCTAGCAGTCTTGTTTTCTCACAGTACCTTTTGGAGGTATTTTCAAATGAAGTATGTCTGGGAACATTGTCCCAACCACAACTGAAGTATCTGAATATTCAGACATTTAAAAATCTCTAGCTCTAGAAATTGAATTTGATGCAAAAATATTTCTTCCCATTCCTCGCAGAGTGGCAGAATGAAAGGATGATGCCTAAATCTCGCAAATAACCCAAAAAATCTCGAGATCGGAAACCGTTCAGAGAAATAGAGCTCAGCTTTATTTTCCCGAGCGTTCGGAGAAATAGTTGCTTCGTTTAAAAAAAAAAAATTAATTAGAAAAAAAAAACCTTCCAGGACCGGGATTCGATGATGCAGAACGTAGACTGCTTCAACTGCTTGTAATGTTCTAGAGGGCTAACTTACTTAAGATAATATTTTTAGGTAGATCTAGTGTATGACGACACTGCGGACAGAAAATACTGCTTGTACCGAGTAGCACCGTTATTGTTATTGTTATCCAAGCGTCTTTCGACTTACTTGCTCAAACTCAAATTCAAATGATTATGATTTTTGAGAGATGATGGACAAGACTACTCTACTTTTGTGCAAACAATGTCAGAAACAATTGCAAGAATACTAGATCTAGATCTACCCAATATTGATCAGAATAAGACAACGTCATAAAAAAGGAGTCAAATCCTAGGAGGTGTATCAAGAAACTGAGAAAGCTTCCACTATTCAGGCAGAACTACAATATTATTTTATGTAGAAACGATGAGTGTACTAGATCTAGTCTAGATTTACTACTTGTGCTTCAAATAGCATGGGAGCTATTCAGAAGACAGCATTTCAGCTGTTCAACATAGGGTCAAAGCTGCAGGGAGAAAAGCAAAGCATTTGTAGGGGGGCTTCAGTGGCTGAGTGGTTATTTTGTTAATTATTAAGACTTTAAAATCATTTTTTCACAGTTTTTTCTTCAAAATATCATGTATAAAATCTAATGTATAAAATCTAATGTGTAATTTTCAATGCCCTATTCCTTCAGCACCTTCAAAGAGCAACAATGTCGCTGACACTCAAAGTGTTTTTCGAAAAGCCTGATGGGAACAAGGAGATTAGGCGGTTCCCCATTGATGTCTCGCAAAATGCTGACCTCTTCAAAACGACAACGGACAAGATCAGACAACTGTATCCGGACCTGAGCCAGAGAGAATTTCAGCTGTATTGGCAAGGTGAATGAATGAAAAGGATAGAAAATTTCTTTTTGTGATCATATTAACATTGAGTGTGTATCTAGAGCTTACAATTATTATTGTTTATATTGCTGCTCATTTATATTAAGCATGTGATTGTAAGCCTACCTGTGTGTGCATGTGTGAGCGGGCGTGTGTGTGTGTGTGCGTGTGCGTGTGTGCGTGTGTGTGTGTGTGTGTGTGTGTGTGTGTGTGTGTGTGTGTGTGTGTGTGTGTGTGTGTGTACACGTGGTGAAACACCAAACCAGTGTGCCAGGATCTGGACAATAAAGATGTATCTTATCTTATCTTATAATGTGTTTAACTGCCTGTAAAGATAGATTCCTTGGGGGGGGGGGGGGGGCTAGCAGGAATAATACGTGAAATAATATGAGAATGAGTGGTATACATTATACATTCTAGTGTGTATTTGAGATCAAATTTAAGGGGGAAAAGCTGTGGTCAATGTGAATATGTTTCTGTGTGTTGGTTTTTGCTGTTACAGTAAGTACAGTAGGCATGTGTGTGCATGCATGTTTGCTGGCTTGATAAAATCATGAGCGCTTCTTGAATTTTAAGTATATAAGACTAAGGATTAATATTGCTGTTGGTGTCGGCAAATAGCCTTGGGTGACCTTTCAGGGGTGTATTCTTGTTTTGTATATAATAATATATATATATATGTGTTGTATGATGGGTAGTTGGAGGATGTTGCAGGGTTGTCCTATAGATATTTTCTATTTACCTCTAAACTTTCTGTCCGACTGTCTTGCTCTTTCCATACTTAAAGAGTTGTAATTGTGTTGTAGATAAAATATATGCTTCTCTTTAACTCTAACCAATTTCAGTAAATATGTAATGATCTTTATTTTAAAAATGTCCATTCATTTTTTTAATTCCCTAGACTCGGATGGGGATCGCATTGTGTTTTCCTGCACTGAGGAAATGCGTGAAGCGATTGGCCAAGTACAGGATGGAGTACTTCGAGTGTACATCACAGGTATGTTTGACATCATGTGTGTGAGATACGAATAAAAGACTGCTCAATTCTGTCTTTCCAGAAATATGTCTTGAAATGACCACTCATCTACCTACCAATGTCAGTTTACATTGGTTGATATTTTGCATGATTTAGTTCACTCATCAACCGAATGTTGAGGCTTCTAAGAGCAAGCTGAATCTGAGAAATATTCAGTAAAACTCGTACAAGAAAGAACAGCGTCATAATTTTTCATGACATTAAGAAGAGAGGTTATCCATGTATTCATTGTAAGCTGGTTTAGTGACTTTAAAGTAAAGTATGAAAGTGTGAGATTAACCAGCTTTCTGTTGTGTGCATGCATAGTTTAAAACAGCCATATGCACGGCTCACAGCTGAACGCTCTGTATCCTGGACTCTAGCATGGAGATAATCAGGAGAGAATGCGTCGCTGATCATCCAAATATTTTTATAAAAGATTTCATTTGTTGTTATAAGATGATTACCATATTGGTGAATGCGATATGGTCAACTTGCATTACTTAAGAAATAGTGACGCCCCTTGTGGGGCTCATTTCAAATTATTAATAATTACCAGCTTGGATAAATGTCTTCTTTAGTTAATGGTTACAAATTTTGTCATGTAATCTTAACATTTTGAATTTTTAATCTAATTGCCCCTGGAAGTGACTTTCATTTAAAATTCTGTCAGAAAAGATAAGACAATCTTTTAACGGCTTGTTTTGGGTATGCCGATTATTTGTTACAAGGACAATATGGAAATAAAGCTGTTTTCTGTTACTCAACTGTAAGTACTCCTTTAAAAAGTATTTAGGTTTAGAACTATCTTGTTCTGGTCTTTCAGCTGCTTCGTCCTCGAAGTCATCAGAGACTGGGCCCAAAACACCCCCTCAGCCTCAGCAAACTTCTGCACCAGCTGGCGAAGGAAAGCAACAGCAGAAGCACCAACAACAACAACAACAACAACAACAGCAACAACAGCAGCAGCAGCAGCAACAACAGCAGCAGCATCAGCAAAGCAGCAGCTCATCACAGGGCCAAGGCCCCATCCATCGTGGAGTTACGTGTGACGGCTGCGAGGGTCCCGTGATCGGCGTCCGTTACAAGTGTTGTGTGTGCGCCGACTATGACTTGTGCTCCTGCTGTGAGGGCAAGGGGCTTCACTCCGAGCACGACATGTACAAGATAACCGTTCCGAGAGTCAACCCGATGGTGAGTGTCTCTCAGGCTGTGTGCCAACCGCATGGCGTTCATTGTTTCAAACAGTTGTTGTTGACATCTTTGGGGCAAACTTAGTTTTTAAAAAAATAATAATGTGCAGTAAAAACCCTTACTTAACACCCCCCCCCCTCCCCCCACCAAAAAAACAAAAAAACAAACAAAAAAACCAAAAAAGCAAAAAACTTGATTGAAATAGTTTTGTCACTCCGAATCTGCTTTGCAGTGGTAAGGTTTTCACTGAGCATGTTAAAGAGTTCAGTTCACATAAAGAGAAAGTTACTTCTTCAATTGTTGTCTTTCTGCTGGGTTGTTTTGCATACATCCCAAATTTGTACTGATGGACAGGGTAGAAGCAGCCTGCCTTTTAAATGATCTAAGCTGTGCTGATGGGTTTGTAAAACATTTAACATCAGCCACAATGGAGAGAGATATACATATATAGGTTTGGGTTTCAGAGATTGTCAAATTCACCCTCTTTCCTTCTGTACCTTATAAAAAATCAATTCTGCTTTTGAGGAAGTTGCACGAAGTGAAGGAAATGGAAAGAAAGCTGTCTGTTGCTTTTGCAATGTTTTTCTGTATATATATATAAATATTTAAATTTAAAAAAAAAAAAAAAAAAAAAAAAAAATATATATATATATATATATATATTATAGTCTTTCAGTTTCCTGTTGATTATATGCACTCATCTCTAATATATTAATTATAAGTGCTCTTTTAGTTTGTTGGCCCGAACTTTCCATTACTTTTAATTTACTTGACAGGTACTGATTCTGTGCTTGAACTCAGCTCTCAGATCATAAGCTGTAAAATATGGATGGTTGTAGGTGCTATTGTCCTTTTCTCATCAAACTCAATTATTTTCTTACTGTTTTAAACATAAAATTATTCCAACCATTTGTTACTATTAACATTTTTCTTTGTTATTTGTTATTATTTATTATGTCTTGTTTGTTTAAACCAGTCTTTACTGTATTTCTGTACTGTGGGTTTTTTTTTTTCAGGATTTCATTCCTCCCCATTTTGGCCGTTACCTGAACCGCTACATGCAGGGTTACTGGAACGGTTCTCAGGCAGGTGCCAGCGCAAGTGCCAGTGCGAGCGCCTCTTCCTCCTCCGCGTCTGCTCAGGCCAGTGGCGGGACAGGAAGTGGAGACAAGGCCAAGGAGCAGGCGGGTTATGACGAGTACCTCAAAGGTGTCGGAGCCAACATTGCCGCTTTTCTGGATCCTTTTGGTGAGTGCAATGTTCAAAATGACTTTTAGTTCTGCATTTGTTATGGCTATGAATTAACTTGTTTGCTGTTTGAGTCTTTAGACGGAATACTCAGATCAGTGTGCTGCTCCCCCTCCCCCCCCCCTCCAAAAAATAAAAAATAAAGAACTTGGCTACTCTCTAACTATGAATGATACAATACTGAAATCTAATCAGATTCAGCAGGAGTTGTATGTTCATCCTTACAGCTCAGAAAGAAATTTAACTCTTGTTATTTTGTACTTGTTGTACAGATACTACAAAAAAACTGATAGTGCCTTTTTTTTTTACTGCCTATCCAAGCACAATATTTCTGCTGTTTTTGTGAGTGTGCTGCTATTTCTGTCATAAAAATGCTATACCAATACCAATTCACAGTTACCTATCTCAAAACAAAGGCAACTGAATTAGTAAGTTACATGTTACCAGTACACAAAGTTAGAGTTGATGAATTGCCATTGATGTCGTCCTGTGGTGCAGATGCTGTGGTCGCAAGCGTGTCTTATACTGTTACAGTTCTGATTATTTTGTAACTTTATAGGGTGTTTGAAATAGATCCAGAGAAAATGTTATCCAGACAACATTTTTAAAAGTGTAGATCTTATCATCGCTTTGGCCAGGGATTTTTTCGACTGAGTAGGTGTTCAAATTCATTGATAGGAGAGGTAACACTCGACTGAATCAAACAAATGCATGGTTGGAGTGCTCTATTGGTAGTTGCTCCTTCTTTTCTTTCCTTCTCTGTTAATTGTTATTACTGTCTAATGTACATTTTCCCTTCTGTGAATGAGTATTATTGTGTTCAAATTCATTGATAGGAGAGGTAACACTCGACTGAATCAAACAAATGTATGGTTGGAGTGCTCTATTGGTAGTTGCTCCTTCTTTTCTTTCCTTCTCTGTTAATTGTTATTACTGTCTAATGTACATTTTCCCTTCTGTGAATGAGTATTATTGTGTTCAAATTCATTGATAGGAGAGGTAACATTCGACTGAATCAAACAAATGTATGGTTGGAGTGCTCTATTGGTAGTTGCTCCTTCTTTTCTTTCCTTCTCTGTTAATTGTTATTACTGTCTAATGTACATTTTCCCTTCTGTGAATGAGTATTATTGTGTTCAAATTCATTGATAGGAGAGGTAACATTCGACTGAATCAAACAAATGTATGGTTGGAGTGCTCTATTGGTAGTTGCTCCTTCTTTTCTTTCCTTCTCTGTTAATTGTTATTACTGTCTAATGTACATTTTCCCTTCTGTGAATGAGTATTATTGTATCGATTTGTTTCTCTTTACGTAAGCACACAAACAAATGAAGAAGGCCAATCAAATGTTTTGATTTGCCCTCAGGTATTGACGTGACTTACGATGTCCACCATGGCGATGGATCCCACGAGACCGGTGGGAACCGCAGAGGAAATTGTCGTGGAGGTTTTGGCCGATGTGGGGCGTGGGGGTCAAACATGCGCCGCAGAGCGGAGACCGCCGCAAAGACGCCTGGGGCAGAGCAAGCGACTGGCAAAGGAGAGACGATGGAGACTGACAGTGCTGAGAAGACACAAGACCAAGGTGCACAGAGCCAGACTGCTCCACAGGATGTTCCCATGGATGAAAGCAACAAGGTATCGCTAGCACTTTCCTCTTTTAAAAAAAATGTGATATTATGCTTCTTTTAAACTCAAATTTGAACTTGTCTAACATTTTTTCCCCATACAGCGCACAGAGCGCAAAACCTTTGACCCCACATTTCAAGAAGTTGATAGGATATATCAGTACTATACCTGTACCTTGGCAAAAAACACTCTGTATTAAGTAATTTTCAGCACATTGAGAAAATTACATAAGTTTATCGCGTGTTTGTCAAAATAGGAATCAGAATCGGAACTAAAAATATAAGATCTAGCACATTCATCACCCGAATTCCTCATCATGGCGGCACTAAAGAGCACTCATGTCAGATCTACTCAACATTTTTTAAAGATTTTCAGTCGTTTTCTGTTTTTTACTCTCTTGTAACACCTGTAACCTGTGGCACTTTTATGGCCTTATTGTGTTGCAAGTGCAGTAAAATTCTTACTAAACATAAAACAAACTGGCAAGTCCTATTTCATTCCATTCCCTCCGTTGTGTCTGTCTGTTGGTTTTGCTCTTTCCCTGCATCTGTTATAACTATTGGCGGGTCGATGTGCTTCACTACTCGAACAAATAAACAAACCACAGCTGAACAATTCCATTTCTTTCCCCAGCCAAGCGCATCAAACAACTACGGTGGCGTTTCGGATGACTGGACATTTGTGCCGGAGGATGGGACTGAGGTCCTCATCCCCACCCAGGCCCCTATCCCCATGCCAGGTCCCACGGCCATACCCATGCCTGCCCCCGCACCTGCTCCCACTCCTGCCCCTGCCCCCACTCCTGCCCCTGCCCCTGCCCATGCCCCCACTCCTGCCCCTGCCCCTGCCCCCACCACCCCTACCTCTGCCCCCACCATGACTGCTCCAGGCACTGAGACTCCCACTCCCGCTCCGCGTGTAGCAGCCCCAACAGCCTCTGCCACAGCCCCTGCCCCTGCCCAACCCGGCAACCAGACCAACATTTACCCCAGTAAGTACCCTCTTACTTATACAAGGCTATACATCCTTTACTTGGTTATTCTCCCAAGTCCTTATCTCTGGCAAGCAGCTCCGTTGTGACGGATGAGCCGCTGGCAGCAGCTGGGGCACATTCCTGAAGAACGACTTTGATGTCAAATTACTTTTCGGTAATTGCCAAAAATAGGAATTTTGCTCTTATTTTGTCAATGTGCTTCTCTTTACACGTACAAATTACCTTTGCGGGTGGTTGGAGGGCACCACTGATAGATCCTTTCTTACTTTTCCCCTGTTGTGTCAATCTAGTATCTGTCTTACTTTTTTCTAGCACTAAATGACCATTATTGTGTCGACATCCTTGTCTGGACTCAAACAAACAAGTGACCCTTTCCTAATAATTTCTCTCCCTCCACAGACCTGCGAATCCAACAGAGCCTGGATCAGATGTTGTCCATGGGCTTCACCAACACGGACAACTGGCTGGCCGACCTCCTCACAGAGCACAACGGCAACATCGGGGCCGTCCTGGACGACATCAAAGACAAGGCCACCCAGCAGCTCAACAACCTGCGTGGCACCCGCTAAGTATGACCGAAAGAAGAAACTCGCTCTACGTAGAGAAGAAAAGTTTGAATTGTACTCTGCATTTTCTGTGTGTTAATGAATTATAATCTCTTTGGAAAGATATTTGTTGTGCTGGTCCAACTGTGATCATCGTTGTACTTTGTGAGCTACGATTTTCTTAAACATAATTTTTTTTGTTATTGGTGTTGTTTTTGGTCTTGTACAGCCAGGTTTGCCTTGAAAAAGTGTTTTCTTCAAAGAGAATTTTTGTTTCTTGGTTTAGGGTTTTTTTTGTCATGCACAGCCGGCTGTCGGGAGGAGCAAAAGTTTAAGTCTTTAAATGTGTTTTAAAAAATTTCTGTGAGATCGACCAAAATTACTTTGTTCATTTTTCAAGAAAGGCACAATCTAGTTTTAATATTTTATTTTACTTGTTGCTTTTAAACAGTATAGCTTTGCTTTCCAAAGCTTTTGTCAATATAACAAAATACATTTCTGATGTAACTATGAGCATGAGAAGTTATGCTTGCATAAGCATTGGGAGTGCGACTTGCATTTTGTGCTGCACTGATTTTATCTTGTATGTTGTTTAATCTTTAATTTAGAGTGTCTATGGATGGTTTGTTCACACTGTAGTGGCAAAATAACACAATGCTAATGTTGATATACTTTATCCGGTGTACTCAAGATTTTGTGTTACTAAATTCTGATATGGCAATACACATGTTTTATACTTTCCCTATTTCAGGAATATTTTTGATAAAACTCTATGATAATTATGAAACCCTGTTAAGAATGAAACTCTTTGCTTTCAGGAAAGAGAAGATGTTTTGTCAGTTAAAGCAAGGCTTGTCAAAGAAGTCATCTTATAATAGATCGTTGACTATAATTAATGTAAAAGTCTTAAATGAGGATTGAATCATTGGTTTTTTTTTCTTGTTGTTGTGACCTTTCAACTTGCCCTGGTGGTTTGCTCTTGTAGATTGTTGCATTCTTCTCCAGCCTTTTTTTTTACCCTACCAAATTTTTTGACAACCACAACCCAATACTAAAGTTAAAGTTCTTTATCTTAAAGCTTTGGAATTTTTATGTAATGAACATTTCCACTAATCCACATTTTTCTGCCAGCACTTTGCTTTGAGTGTATTTCTTTATCTATTTACATCTCAGGCTACATTTTTGCATTGTTTTTAAACTATGAATAATTCGGGGACATGTCCGGTTGCAAAAATGCTTCACACAAAATTGATTAATTTTGATTTTAAAATCTCATTGTAAACTGATCACAGGTACCATTTTTTTTTTTCCTCTTCAATTTCTGTAAAACAGTAAATGATTATCTTTTGGTGTTTCTCGTTTAAGTCAATCTCCAGACTGGTACATGCTCTTGCACACAAATAATTTAACGGACATGTACACAAATAACCTGATACTCATACAAGTCCACACATGCGAGCACTTACAGATATATGTACTCATGCTCTTTCACATATGCTAACAAACAAACAAACAAACAAGTGCAATTGTACCCAAACGCTCACAAACGCATGCGTGCATGCACAAGGTCTCCCACTCCACACACACAAGATTGGACCAAAGCAGTGGGAGACATAACAGTCACTTCTGTGTCTTTGTCACTGATTAATGAAATGTGCTGTTGTTATTTCAGTCGAAATAAATAGATATTATATATATAAACTTATACTTCTTGTTTTGCATTTTGTTTGTCATTAGTTAAAATTTAAGAGTTGGTTAGTCTTGTGTGAGTGGGCAGTTGGTGAGTGCTCTGTTCCTTTCATTCTATCAAACATCTGTCGTCCTTATCTTTCCTCCTTCCTTCTTGTGTTTGTTACTCTTTTGTAACACCTCTAATCTTGGGTTTGCAAGTGCCGTAAAACTCCTCTTAAAACAGAAACAAGTCTTGTGTGATATAATGGATGTTGTATGTGAAAAATGTGAGAATGTGTTGTGAGAGTTGGAGATGGAGTGTAATCGTTTTATAGAGGTTGAATGTTACTGAATGTGATAAGCCCCAAACACAGAAGTATCAGTCTTTCGTTTCAGCAACGGAGAAAACGTGATGGACATTGATAATGAATGACTTGACACAATACTGATCTAGGATGACTTAGCACAGCAGCTATAAATCAAGCGTCTTATTTCAAAAGACTCGAGTAGAATTAAATAAACAACGTATTTGGTGCAGTAGTAGAGTTTGAACCAGAGTGTTTCTAGGGAAACAAACTGAAAGTACTTGACGGAAAGCCTGAGTGAGTAAAAACTTGGAAGGTACTTTGAACATTAAAAGGCACTAAGATGACTATCTCAGTTGTCGATGAATGATGACTTCATCGCATTAATTATCCAACCATTTCCTATGAACATACGGAACACAGTGATAACACAAAACATTGCGTGTATGGAGAACCTTCAATAATGATAATTTCAGGAGCACCTTCCCTTACCACCTAAAAAAAACCCAAGAAAGGTGACAAAGAACATAAGAACAAATTTACACAAATTCCACATGCTTATTAGGCCGGTCCCAGAGTGGCTCTGTAGGTCTGACCTGTTGTTCGCCTGGCTCACACCGTGCAAATGAAGGTATACATTATCGTGTGCTTAAGCAGCGTCGCTGTGTCGTCTGTTTTTGGTCAGTGAGCTGCGCGATGCGTCAGACGTGGTATTCAACAGAGTCGTAAAAATGACGGACATGTGTCGCCTCGCTTCGTGTTTATTTTCGACTGAAACTTCACAGATCATCAAAATCAACAAGAAGTAAGTATTATTGGGTGCTTTGCTATTAAATATTAATGCTAGAATCAACACTTGGCCACAAAATCACCCAGAAATGCACTTTATCATACTTTGAAACTTCGAATCGAGAGGTTGACCTAGTTTCGACTGTTGTCCTAGGCCTAGGCCTAGATCTAGGTGTGCTTCTCTAGATTCTAGATCTAAATCTAGATCTAGCCTTGCATTACCAATGTAAACTATCGCCGCGCCCAGCTGCAAGTGTGTTTGTTGTGTGTGTGTGTGTGGGGGGGGGGGGCTGCACTTGGCACATGACGTAGAGAAGAGTTGTCCTGTCTTGGTATAATTGGTCTTGGATTACACAGTACCTAAATATAGCAAGGCAGACCCGTCAGTTGCACACCTACACACGTCAACACACAGTGCGGCTGTGCTGAGACGCAGCGAGTGTGCCTCGTGCTCGCTGAGACACAGACACCAACCCACAGTGCTTCTGTGCTGACACGCACACGGCGTGCGCCAGGCGAGCTACATGTCAGACCTACAGAGCCACTCTGGGACCGGCCTTACAGTGAGAGATCACACAGGACATATCAACTCGAGACACCTTTTTCATCCTGAACATTCATGTTTATTGTCTATTTTTCACGCACTGTTAATGAACAAATCCAGGGCCCAGAGATTGCAGGCAACAAACAGACAAACAGAATGAGGAAAATATTTGTACTCTCCAGTCTCGTAAAGGGTTTTGAACTACAGATAGACTAAGTTGACAGTGCCAGCTCTGCAATATAGGCATGGAGCCTACATGTGCGTCTGCTGAGCTATCTTGTCTGACGACACCATGGGTCTCCAAACTTTTTCAACATGAAAGTGAAAGTCACATCTTATGATTTAAGGAATTTTGAGGTTTAAACAATAGAATGAAATCATGTACACAACAGTTTTCAAACACATGTAGAGAGATAGATGATGAAAATATAAAAGAAAGAATTACATCGAATTTTAACCTTTCTTATCAACCTCAAATGACTGGAGAAAAAAAAATGAAATCACGACAATAACTGAATAACAGAACCGGCGCCACGATTAGAAAGAGAAATGAAAACGTGAAATGGGGAAGTTTCGTATGTGTACTATTGTGGAGGTTCTAAATTATTGCTGCCAGCTGAATGTGGTCTTCAGCCCGCAGTTTGGAGACCCGCGGGTCAATGCTGTACATTTGTATTATTGATGAGATGTTGAAGTTAAAGCATTTCACACAACATAATGCAAGGGTATAATTATTCAAGAAACAACTTTGGTGAAAGAACTTTTTCTCGGAAATGGTCTATTTAGTAGAAAGGAAAAGAGTAGTTTCTTTTTCACTGCTAATATTATTGGTAGACCATTGGTACCTACACTGCAGTTTGCGATGAATTCTTTAAAAAAACTAGTAGCTCTATACGAAAGCGGCTCTAAGTTGTTTTTTTGCCAAAATTTGATTCAAGTGAAAAAGCCCATATCTAATCTTTCAATCATACTTTGATATTCATACCTCAATATTCAACAACTACCCATCCATTATTGAGGCAATTTGGAAAGAGGTTAAAGCTCAAAAACCTTTTCTTTCTTTTTTTTTTTTTAATGTAGGTTTTTTTACACTCCCATCAACACAATTTAAACCATTTAGGAGGTGAGTTTCCGACCCTGCCTGTCAGGACCAACTCGGGCTGAGAGGGACACAGCATCCTGCCAGAAAGACCGAGACACTCAATAAAAATGTTCTCCCCACCCGAGAATGAAACTCAGGTCTCTTGCGTGCAACAGAGAAGCGCCTCACCACTACACCACTTAAACTTAAAACCTTTTCTTTTCTTTCTTTTTTTTTGGAGTAAACTGGAAGTCTTTTACACCCCCATCGACACAATTTAAATCAGTCACAAGGTGCAAGGAGGGGAGTGGGAGGGGGGGAGGAGGAAGTGGAGGTGAAAGCAAACGATAGAACTTGTCTAGAGGCCAGGAAAGGGGGTGAAGGGAGAAAATTTTATTAGGGAAAATATTTTCTGTCACTGTCAGGTTTTGAACCAGGGACCTATGGAATGACGGGCAAACACTGTACCTCTAGACCTCGAGAGCTCCTAAAAAAAGTAAAATGGCGTTACTGAGTCATTGAGCAATTCCCCCAGGGAGACTATGAGCCCTCTATTCGTCGGCAAAGAGCAGCAGACTAGACCAGAACCCAACCAGGACTAGACCTGTGGAAACCAGACTTTCATTTCTGATATCGACAAAATAGTCGATCATGGTGGGTGATGACGACATTTTTAAAGAAGGATGTGACTATTACAATGATTTAAGAATTATGAAAAAAAAAGCCAGGAAAAAGTAGCAAGAGAAGTCAAACCAGCAGCCAACAAATACAGAGATTTCTAAAAATAGCAAATTATTATCATTATCATCATTATAACCGCAATGATTACAAAACTCTTAAAGATATGCTACGATTCTGCAAAATAAACAACACAGCAAATCCTCGATAAACTAACACTACAAACCATTTCCAGGAGCTAATAAAGCAGCAATCACAACTCTACAACCAGGAAAAAAAAAAGGGGGGAATCCCCTAAACCCAGCAAAAGGTTTTCGGTGTTAAAAAAAAATATATAATATCTATAAAAATCACTATAGAGTGAACAAGTGATGCTGGATATAATATGATTTTATGTAAAAACACACTGCAATAAAAAATCTCGTTCCCCATGATGAATTAAGTATTCTGTCTAGTATGGGTTAATTTTCCATTGAGAAAAGAAGAGATATGTATATGTACATTTCTTTCGAACTAAATTGGCACACAGACAGCAGACATAAATGATGGCACACTAGGAGAACTATAAGTTTCTATTATAAAATATGGATGAGCAGTAGAGGGGGCATTGCATTCAAAGGTTAGAATCTGGAGGAAGGAAGACTTTCACCATAGCTTGAGCACCAAAACAAGCATTTCAAGTAATTAATTATGAGCTGACAGTTTAGTGACGACATGCTAGCTAGAAACTTCAAACTACTTCATGAGCAACTGCGCAGGTAGAAACAAAGGAAAGAAATTCTAGAATGCATTGGCACCGTGAAATTACATAATTTTCAGGAGGATTTAATTTGTTTAATTTTGCACAAAGCAGAAAATAAAGAAGGAAAGTGATTGATTCAGACTATATCTCTTACACTGAGCAGTAAACAAAATGAGACTCAAAATACAGAAAAATTTAAAAATAAGGATCAATCTGCTCCTCATCCCCCATTATCATAATGTACCCAAAACTCTCTGCAATCATCTATTTCACACTTTGCACCTAAAAACGTACAATGTATCAGAATTCAGAATGTATCCAATAAATAGAAGGAAAGAAAGAACGTCTTCAATTCTATTTGGTCTACCTCTCCATCATTCACCGACTGTGGCCAACAGGTGTCAGGAAAGAGGTCCAAAAGGTTGAAAAAACCCCCCCAAAAAATCAAAGATGTCCGGTTATATGAAGAAAGCATACCACCTTAAATGCAGCTCTACCCAAATAAAACTAGAATCTAATCTTTTCTTAATTGCGCCAAGATGGAGAAAGGACAAAATTGTTGAACCTAGAGCAGTCAGGAATTGAACCTGTGACCCTCTCATTATGAATTCAGCAGTTGAGCCAGTATGTCACTGATAAGTCAGCCCCTGACATTGCAGGTTGTAAGTTTTTCCGAGTCACTCACGAAGCTTTTACATGACAGAAACAGAATACTGCAAAACTGACAGCGAAATGAAAATATACACACATCTAGTCTTTTTGTACGGTAAATAACAAAATTAAAGCCACTGAGCGCTCTTTCCCCCTCAGAAAACCCATCTTTAAAAGTTGGAAGGTCTGTCTTGTCACAAAGTCAACAGCCACAATTTAATAAAGAAGACCCAAACTCCAGGCA